TGATCCCATTTTACTCTATCCACTGTGCATCACTTCTTGATTGTATGTCGCACTGCTGTGACATACAAACGAGGAAAACTCACTTATATACACCCACGAGAAGTGTTTGTAATGCTTAATAGTGTAAACAATGGTGTAGGTACTAGTTACTCTTTCACAGCAAACATTCCAAAGTCACATATAACAACTATATGAATGAAATATATTGAAGGTTTTTATTTTTTGCTGATACCCTGCATCAATTCAATTTCAATTTCAATTGTTTATTCCTTGATAGAGGAAGCGGGATCCTAGTGCTGTCACTAGGTACCCCTGTACAATGACACCAGAAGCATCTGGCAAGTGTGAAAAGTATATACAGTATAAATATTATAAAGGGGCTTACTAAAGCCTAAGGAAGGAAGGATATTCCTTTAACACATAATCAATATTATTTACAAAATATCTGGCCAGTATTGGGAGGATCATCGTGTCTCCGTCAGGGGGTCGTGGAGTGGTGGTCCAGCAGGCGTCACGGAAGCGTTGTGTGTGGGGACATCTTAGGAGGTAGTGGATAAGGGTGCTGCTGTCGGGTCTTCTGCATAACGCACAAGAGCGTTGCTCAGGGGATGCGGGGATACCAATCTCCCAAGCAAAGTCATACCCAATGATGATACGGGCAGCAATCACGTCCCCTTTCCGCGACCCTTTCCCGTAGACGTACGAGAGGTCAGGAAGTTTACGGAGGACATCGTACCAGGTGGGCGGGGAGTCCAGGGGGATGGCTGCTTCCCGAGCTTCTCTCTGTTTGCGGCGGATTTGGGTCCTAATCTGTAAGAGTGTTCGAGGAACAACGTAGTCAGGTGTGGCCTTGTTGCAGCCAGTCTTGGCAAGGTCATCTGCTGCCTCATTCCCCAAGATACCGACATGACTAGGTATCCATAGGAATGTCACAGGACGGCCTGCATCCTGAAGTGTGGATGTTAACCCTCGTATTCGGAGGATGAGGTCCTTATTTTCCCCTGATCCAAATGCGATCCCGTCGAGAGCAGACCTGGAATCGCAGCAGACAAGCAAGGGGCAGAAACCATCTGCTTCTTCCTCAGCGAGAAGGGCAGCAAGGAGGGCTATTAGTTCAGCCTGAGTGGAGGATGCCCCGTCAGAAACTCTGAGAGACAGTTTGATAGGCTCAGGGGCATGTGGACGGGAGATGTAGACACCAGCCCCGGCCCTACCTGTAGCGGGGTCAACAGAACCATCAGTGTAGAGGACGACCCTACCTGGGGACCAGTGAGCGATCCTGGAGAGGTGGTATTTGCAGAGAATAACAGGGTTCACCTGGGATTTCGGGAGCGGTCCACCGAGGGCAGGAGGTGGTGACTGTGTGGCAGGGCCGGCAACGACCTTGTTCCAAGAACGGTAGGGAGAGGGAGGGAGGGGAGAAAGGATGGGTGGTAGGGGTGATAGGGGGGGTGGTAGAGGAGAGGAGATCAATGGGAAATCCTTGGTGGATGGAAGAGGCGGTGGTGGATAGGATTGAGGTTTGGTTGACAGGGGCTTCGTCAGAGACGAGGGCGGTGGTACAAGGTAAGTTTTCCCCGGGCGAGTGCCAGGACGCTGTGGGCAATTGGCATTCCAGGCGTGGTGACTGCCATGGCAATTGACGCACCGTGGAATAACTGGGATTTTGTTCTGAATTTTCGATTTGCATTCCACTGTTTCGTGAGGACCTGCACAGAAACCGCAGGCGACCATCCTCGTGCACTCCCAGGTGCGGTGTTTCCACGATTGGCAACGACCACAGATTTTCGGGGTTCCGATAAATCGGTCGAGAGGACAGTTGTGAATTGGTCCTACATTCACCTTCGGGGGGAGGGGGCCCACCCACCAGCCGATGAGTTCGTTGGATGGACGTTTGGAGACCGGGTTGATGCGGCGTTCCATGTCCAGTAGTTGTGGGAGAAGAGGGCGAAGATCGTCGATAGGGATCTCCCAGGGTACGTGGCGAACCATTACCTTGGTACGACGAGTTTCTGGGGTGATGATGGTGAATTTCAGCATCACCTCCCCCTGGGGAGCAGGAAAGCCCACCTGAGTGAGCAGGCGTACCGTCTCGTCCATTTGTGTGGTGACTATCACGGCTGTGGGACCTCGGCGGAGGCGAAGTGTTGAGTCCTGAAGTGGAGAGCAGTGACGGAAGAACCAGGTCGTCCGTGTGCTCAGAGGCAAGTCCCGAGGGAAGGCGAGACGACGAAGGCGCGACGGGGCAGGGAGACAAAGGGAATCCCCTATGTCCATCGTCGGCGGAGGGTCGGTCATTGAGCCACATGTAGGCTCACTTGGGGACCCCGATGACAGGAGTCCACCCTCTACAGCCCCAGAAGGGGTGCAAGGGGGAGCCGTGGCCCCTGCTGGAGACCCTGACTTCTGAGGTTTCTGCTTCTTCTTTGACGTGTCTTCAAGAAGAAAGTCGTCAGCATCACTGTCACCTACTGCCGCCGTTTCCAACGAACGGGAGCGTTTAACGGCGGGCATAGGGCACGTTGGCAACACTGCAGTCAGGTGGAGTGGTAATGACGTCACTGCTACGTCACACTATCACATTGCGCATGCGCAAACTTGAAAAACTTTGCTCAGAGGGATCGGGTGGTAGGACCAGATGTTTTATCCCAAAAATATGACAAAGTCCAAAAGTAACAAAAAAATATATGCCACTGTGCTGATAACTGGGTCTTACTATAGTTGTTTGCACAGGCTGGGATTGGTAGACGCGCTGAATTCGTCAGAAATACGAATTTTAAGGAGCAGTCTCATACAGCCTTTGTTGACACTACGCACGCATGCGCGTTCTACCCCCTGCATCTTGGAAAAATATTTGGTACTACTATCTGGCAGTAAAATGTTTTGATAGCTTATTCATCAAATATGCTAAAATATTCATCATATTCATTGCTTTATACACTGAAAGCACAATACATGCACAAACAATATATTTTCCTTAAAAAAGCTTCTTACAATACAGACACAAGTTTGAAGGTTGGAATAAGTCAACTTTACCAAGGATAATCCTGAGAGTCAGAGTCACGGAGAACTTATTTTGTCTGGGGTTAAGATGAAGAATCAAATATCAATAAATCTTCATTGTACTTAAAACTAACTGAGTCTGGCAAGCCTTTTCTACAATACAGCAATTTTTATTTTCACTGCAAGCTGTACAACAGGTGCAACAATCCTAATCTAGTGCCTTGTTTATTCAGATCCCCAAAACCTTTAAAAATTTAAGGGAAGATCTTCTTTAATTTACTTTATCCTCTTCCCCACTTGTCAGCTCTCAAGCCAGCTGGGTGGGCGATCTGTGCTATTTTTACCCACTGTTGGTGAGTCCTGGCCAGGGCTCCTGAATTACCTGAACATGTGCCAGTGTTGGTTAAGTCCGGTATCAAATGAGCACACATATGGTTCTGTCACAACACTCTGGTAAGTTACCTAAACAGCTTACAATTCTTACTCCAAAGAAGTTAGCTTTGACAGCCCATTGTACTGAGGCCCTGAACGTTTGGGAGGAAAAGGTGGGGTCGTCCGCTAATTCCAGATGTGTGTATAGTGTATACACAGTACCCTGTATATATTAGCTGAAGAGCAACATACGTTCAGAAAAGAAGTGTGTACACTTGCGGACAAAAGTTCGCTCCCCATGGTGAAACCGAGTCACTGGTATGAATCTCTGAACTGACTGATGCATTTTGTTTGGGATCGATGCTGCTTCAATTTGGGAGGGAGCTAACTTTTGACCCTGACTGTACCTAAGTTGGTGAATCTTCTGAAGCACTCCCCAGAACAAGTGTCATCTGCAAAGAGGGAGTAGCTGACTCCCTTCCTGTATCATTATTCACTAAATTAGATTTATTTTAAAACCCCATCCAATAAAATATTCAACAATAATGGTGACACTACAGTACATATCTATGATATAGTTCTACCTTCTCAACAACCTTCCTTTTCCACCTCTTTTACACTCCATTTTAGAAACTCAGGACATAATTAAAAAAATTTCCTAGATTTTCAGTACTGTACTTGCGACATTGCTTTTGTATGTATTACTAATGTATATGCTTTTTGTAGATCTATGAATGGCACAAAAAATTCTCTACTCTTCTCAACAAACCTTTGCCTCATGTTTTTTAAAATGAACAAATCCTTTATTTTATTTACTGATCTTTTTAATCCCATTCCCTGTCATACAGGAAACTGCACATACATTGTCTTTCCTTTGATACCATTCTTCATCATATAAAGCCTGTACGAAAGGGGTAGGACACTGGTCAAATTTTCTCCATTCTCGGTCAGAAAAGGAACTTTTTCAATCACATGCACTGCTCGCGTATCACCGCTGCTTGTAACAAATCAATAACAAAATGGCAGGTCATCCAAAAGCTTTGCGTCATATCTCCAGGAAAATCATCATTCAAACGTTCCTTGCATGTCACACAGACCAAGGAGATTCCCTCACTTCATCACCAAGGGAAGTTTTAAGTCCATTGTCAAAATATTTCAAGAGGCTTGAGAATTCATGCTGGCCACACAGTCGAGAGAAAAAAAAAAAAAAAAAAAAAAAAAAGGACATGTATCTGTAATTTTCATTTGTACTGTAAAATATATTCCAATTCCATGGATAATACATTTGCATGAAAAATCACTTAAAAGTCTCCTAACAGTTTATTTTTTCTCCTACACCTTGACAGTACAATCTCTATACCCTACGCAGGATTGCTTATTATGTTACTTTTAAAAGTTAAATTATTCTCCCATCCTCTCTCTTTTGTTTCCTTTTATTCATAAATGTTCTTTCAACGTCTCTTAAAATATTGTGATATCCTTCCCACTCATGTTTGGTCTGCTGCTCTTTTATATTATTCTAAATTCCTTGTGCATATACTGGAACTTCTTTCATCTCTCTATAACCAACTCACTCACCACACTAATATTCAACACTTGGAAATAAGTAAAAGTAAACAATGCAATATTTTTCTCTTCATGTTCTCTCTTTATTTTCAAGACATCAGTACATTATTGCTTCATGTTACATCAGAGCAAAAAATACCTACAGAATCCTTGTTCATCATACTCACACATGTGAGATTCAACAAACTTAAAATAACTAATAACATGCAGAACAACTGCATTCTTTTACTTCTTACAAAAAAGTTTGTGACCTCACAGTTTTTGAAAGTAACTCAAAAGAACTATTAAACTTTGGGTTGCTTGACTAGAAGGAGTATTTCTACCAAAATTATGCTGATGTACATAACATAAAATAGAACTTATGAAGGCTCCAGTAGCAACCTCCTAACATTCATTCACTTCTGGTTTAATGTAATATCCTTATTGTAGTATGAAAGTAAGAGAGAACAGGGATCATGTTATGGGGCTCATTGGGAGTAGGGTAATTGTTGGGTACCTTCATAAGAACCCTAACCCCCCACTCAGGACTGGCACATCACCATTGTTGTCAAAATGTGGCACTTTTTAAGCACTGTACCTGGTCGGGTGACACTCACATATTCAAAGTCCTGTAATTAGAACAAGTTTGCAGTCTATTTACACTGTCCATCTTTGGTGATATAAACCTTAATTACTGTATTTTCTATATATATTTGATGGCAATTATGTCCTCACACACTGGTGCCATGATACACATTTCACATGTAGATCCAACCTAATGAGCCCAATTTATAGATAAGCAAGGGACATGATCACCTGAGCCCGTGCTTATGTATCAGCAAAACTGCATAAAAGCATGTTGAGCTGGGAGATGTGTCCCTTGGTTGAAGTAAAAGCCCCAGCTCTGGGTAACAGGAAGAGTGTCATACAGAATCTTTGCACCCTAGCAAAGCTCAGTGTCTCCATACATTCAGCTGCAGTTTTCTAACAACTGACTGAGCTGGTTATATGGACATTGGAGAGGGCACCAAGAGGATAGTGTATGAATACTCTTAGTACAAATGGCAGCACTGAAAACAAGGCTGCGAGCTGTCTGGAGTAATTGGAACATATACGTTCCAGTTCCTTATGCTGCACCTACAGCAAAGGGATACAACTGAATGTACACACACACACAAACACACACACACATGTGCCTAGTGTTTTTTTTTTTTAGAGGAGCATTACTTTTATGTATTTCTATGACCCTTATATTCACAGTGGAGAAAGAAATAATAACAATAATATTCTATATAAAAAACTGCAGCCAACTTTAAATGTTTGCTCCTCATTCTAGATCTTGATGAAAAATTTGGGTTACACTATCACACAGGACTAAGAGCAAATGACTGATCTACCAATAGTATTGGTTGGGTTGGGTAATTTTTATAATGTAGGATTGGTTGTACTGGCCACAGTGAGGAAGCTTTGGGGGAAAGTATGTACAAATTGTACTAAATTGGCCAATCAAAGTTAGTTAGGACTGCTATCTACTCTTCACAACAAATACTGGATAAACACTTCTGAAGGTGGTGAGGCAATGATTAATTATATTTTGCTCTTTTCTTGCCTGATACAGGAATTTTTGAGGCTGCATACCCAACCAAGGCTACACACAGTATAAGGAAGGACAAGCTTCAAAAACAAAACAATGTACTATTTCGGTAATAGCTACTAGCTGCTGCCATTCACAAAGAAATTTTCAAAGTGGGTAATTTATAATTGCCAAGGAAACCACTTTTTTTTTTTACAGCAAAGGGAATCCTCCTGAAAATAATTTAGTGGTCTTGAAAAACATTTTGTTAAGAAAAACTTGCCATACTCCACTGCACGACAGCCTTCATTGTGAAGTGCAAAACTCATTTCAACACCACAAGAATACAAAATTGAACAGACCTATAGGTAAATCAAAAGTAAAGTGCAGAAAATTATGGGAGGTAGGAAAGGCTAATTTTCACACTTTACTTAAATATCACCAAATGATTATCAAAAAATTATTTTTACTTACAGCTTTGGGAAAAAAAAGCAATCATGTCTATAGCTATAATGAAAACTGAAATGTTTGCTTACGGTATGTTTTTTACCGAGTTCTCCTTAGTAACTGAAAAAAGGAAAAAAAGCCGTTTTCTTCGATGATTAATGGGATAACATTACCTACTTCATGGGAAATGTAATATACAATATATAATTGATAAAAAAAAAAAAAAAAAAAATCTTTTAAAGCCTAAGGATACAGATCACCTATAATAGTGACCATCCAAAGTCACTGAACTAAAACAAATTCTGTTTGTGATCAAAGGAAAATGTGGGAAAAAAAAAAACTGCCGATTGCTGTTGTTCACTTTGCATTATATAGAGCAGTTTCCTAAAAAAATATATATATATTTAAAAAAAAAAAAAAAAAAAAAAAACTTGAAACTCCATCATTAGAGGCAAGGAGCTTGCATATATCTCTCAATTTTTCCAGACCTGCATTTTTCTTTGTTTTTACTTTTATAAAATGAAGTTTTACAAAATAATGACAATATGATTCTTAATTACTTTATAACATAGCCATGTGCTGCATTTTAGGCTTCTTACAAAAAGCTTTCCATTCAGAAAAACAAAAACAAAAAACAGCCACAGCTCTGAAATTAGGAACTCCATGCCATGCTTCATCTTGGAAAATCATTTTGCAGCAAGGTCAAGACTGGACTTGAATGCTGCAAATTTCCTGTGCAGATAACACAGTTGCTATAATATTTCTGAACTATTTAATATCCTAAAAAAAGTTCTTGAGCAGTTTGGCCCCAGGTGTCTCATACAGTTGCAGTCTTAGACCCGAGGCAGAGATTAGGCTACTATGATAATCTGCCTTTGCCTGCTTCCTGTGCAGCACCTAGATACCACCTGCAAAATCCAGACTAGGTGGCAGATCGTCAGTAATCTGATACTGTACCATCGTCATGACCTGAGGCAGTAGCACGATGGCGCTTAGACTTTCTCAGATTAAGTTGGGTTGGAGGTGGCTCATTGGAAGTGGATGTTGCAGTATGCAGGTCAGTGGTAGCAGCAGTGATTTCAGTATGACGTCGCCATCGTTCCCTTCTTGCAATACGACGTATAGTTTTATCTGTCTCTGCATTCTTTGCCTGGATAAAAAATTTATTTTCAGCAAACTTTTTTTAACCTAACACTCATGATTATGATTTATGGCCATGCAAAATATTACCTCAAACGAAGATAATAAATACAGTAATATAATAAAAATTTAGCTCATGACTGATACAGCATGTTTGATGACTGATAAAGTAGCTCAGGCTACCTATTACTCTTTGGCTAAATTAATACCCCTGTACAGCAAACCTTGGAAATCAATTATCTAACAGTCTCAGATAACTGGAAGAACTGAAATAAATCAATAATGCATTATTCTGGTAAGCTCGGTAGTGGGCAACTACCTCGTAAAGGGAAGAAAAAAAGGTAAAACAACATACAATTAGAATCCTGGTTATCCGGCATTTATGGGGATTGAGAGGTGCCAGATAGAGATATAAATTTATAAGTAAACTGAAGAGCAGTTGTGTATGTGTGGGAACTGAACGTGGGTGGAGGTTGGCGGGTTATAATTGCATCGCGGATTCACCAGCCCAGCTGCCATGTTTACTCTTACATGTAATGAAACTTTAAAAGTTGTTGAAAAATCATTAAAATACACTAATGAGGCTCAGAAATAAAGAAAATATAATATAAAACTATAAAATACGACAATTGAAGAGCACGGGTGTGTGTGTGGAGGTAGTGGTCTATAACTACTTTGATGACTTGTCAGCCCAGCCACCTCATATATTGTTACAGTAAGTCCTTGCTTAACTTGGTCCCACTTAACCTTGTTCCGGTACTACGCCGCTGAACTTGAGACCAAAAATTCGTTTAATGTCCCGGTGATCCGATACTACGTCATTTTGCGTAGTCACGGACTACTTTCTATGGCGCATCACCCGCTCTAGTCTGGCTGTGCTACGCTCTCTCGATTCGGCGCGCTGCCCTCACTCGCGGAACGTCACAGCATCCCCAAGCGACTCCAAGTCAGTCTGTTACTGCTTCACATCATTTGTGTGTGCTTAAGTGCTTTTGCTCTAAAACTGTACTCTAACCATTCGAAATGGCTTCCAAGTGCCCATCAAGTGCTACTGATGCTAGTGTAGTTATGAGACAATTTAAGACCATTACCCTTGCTACAAAAATAGATGTATTAATCCGATTTGAAAAAGGGGAACGTGCTGTGAACATAGCCACTGTGCTTGATCTAACCCCAACAATGGTGCATAGTATCCGGACCAATGCTAATAAGATTAAGGTTAGTGCTGGAAGTGGTTCTTCTCCGAGTGCTACTAAGACGACTCGTAGAAGCACCTTGATAGAGTAGGTGAAAAAGATGCTGGCAATGTGGATGGAGGACCACAATCAAGGCAATGCCCCTGTGAGCCTTGTGGTTATCCAGCATAAGGCCAGATCCTTGTTTGATGACATGAAGGAAACAGGGTGAAGGATCGAAGGAAGAGACCTTTACAGCCAGCCGAGGCTGGTTTCAACAATTTAAGCGTTGGTATATCTTCCACAACATAAAGATGACTGAAGCTGCTAGTTCAGATACGGTTGCTGCCAAGACATTCCCTCCAACAACGGAGAAACCCCAGTCAGAGGAGGAGGAGGCAGCCGCAGAGTCTCAGTGACTCACCACCCCCTCCTCCTCCGCTCCCGCTATCCTCCTCCTTCGCTCCACTACCCACCACACACTCGCTCTACCACCTCTGCCCATCGGTGAGTACCAATACAAACTTAGTACTGTAGTTCTATATACTATTTTCTATGGAAATGGCAATGATTTTCTGTATATTAAATTTTTTTCATGGGGCAAAGGGAGGCTGGGGAAAGTAACTCCCGTATTTTACCTATTTATTATGGCGAAAATTTATCCGCTTAACGTTGTTTCGCACAACGTTCCGTTTTCAGGAATGTAACCCCGACGTTAAACGAGGAAGCCCTGTACTTGTAATAAAACTGTGAACGTTGTGGAAAAACCATTACAATACTCTAACGTGACTTAGAAATAAATAAAATACCCGTATAATATAAAAATATCAAATAAGACAAATGAAAAGCATGGGTGTGTGTGTGTATATGTAGGAAGTAAATGTCTGTAGAGGTGGTGGGTCACAGGGTAATAACTACACTGCCGCACTCCCTCCCGATGTGAGGTCATGGCATACATTCAGATGGCGCACCAGTCACACATCCATAAGTCAGATGGGTGACTGCCTAGCTGAACTGTGTCGTGTTGCCCAGAGGATGGGATGGTTTGAGTGTGGAAGGAGCAATTTTTTGTACATAAAATATGTGCTATTGTATTTTATGATATGCTATGTATTGATTTTATTGTTTATAAAAAAAAAAAAAAAACGGCAGCTCATCCCTGTTGTGCGCAGTATTCAAACTTATGATTCTAGTCGATTTGGAAGGAATTTTTATTATTTAATTTTGGTGTTGGTTAGTTGAATCTGCCGGTTGCGTGGATTCTGCAATGACCGGGATTCTACTGTTTTTGGAGAGCAGAAAAGGTACAAGAGATGGGTTGTGAATGGGAAGGCCACAAAGCTTCTCTGTTGTGATAAATTCCCCATTGGGAAGTTCCCTTGGGAAATGAGACACTGATCACTGAAGATAAGAAGCCATTAGAAAAATCCACACCAAAATCTATTAAAAGCATGTTGGGAGTCAGGACAATCAAAAGTTGTCCAGCACAACATAGTTGCATGTGCTCCACTTGGTCATCAGCAAAATAGGCTAAACTGTGAATGATACAAAACGATCTGCCTTTGGGGAACTAACCTCTCCTAGAACATTCTTTGTGATTGTGATAAATTTACGCTTTTTCTTTCGAGCTACAGCTTGATGACTCCCACTGTTTCCAATGTTTGATGTCACATAATTTCGTTCATCTACACTACCCATCTGCAGAGAAAAAAATAAAATAAATGTCAACATTAATTATCCCATACCCAACAAATTTGTTAAATTTTATACAGCTATGACAAATTCTTTACTGCACATGTAATTTAAATATTCATATTCCGCCATCTGTCATGGCCGGTTCGTGTATCTAAAACCAATTAGAGGAAGGGAGGAAAGAGGAACGATAAAATCCAAATATTAGTGTAAATCATAACCCATTACACAAGTAAGTCTACTAAAACATAGTAGGAATAATAATAACAATAAATAAATAAAACAAAAAAAAATCTTACAAACTCCCAAGGGTTACAGCATCCATAATACTGTAGCAAATAGTTCATGAATAATGGGACATAGCTGAAACCCTGGATCCCCTTATAATAGGATTAACTACCAGGACCTTTCTCTGCAGGAAGATCAATGAAGATGCCAAGCTTTAAGCAGTCAAGAAAGACAGCCCAATTAAGTAAGCCAATGTCTTTAACCACTCATACTTGCCCCTTAAGTGATGGGTCAAAGGATATGAAATTATTATCTTTTCAGAACATGGAACTCACAAATGATTAGAATGACCCTATGTCAAAGCCAAGTTAAACTCCTCACATAACAAGGGTCTCAGAGAATCCAAAAATTATTCTCTCATAATTGTTGCATTGTTTGCTTCAAGAAATACCACGAGAGATTCCCCACACTTTTAAAGTGAGATCAAAAGCAAAAGTCCATTTTCAATGAATTGGTCAATGTATAGTTTAAGTTGCGAGATATTGAAAAGACATGTGATGTTAATCCATATCAAAAATCTCTAAAGAAACTGGCCAAATAACATTCGTATATCACCGAGCGAAGACACATCTTAGAAACTCTCAAGAAAATTACATGATGGCAAAAGAAGAATATGTTGATAAATAATGGATGATACTGAAAAACATATACCGCACATTAATAACTGTAGCATTCCGAGTAGATTTAACATGTAGTTTGTTGGGTACATTTAGAGACATCAAACTTAGAACTGTATCATACAACCTTGCTATCACAAGATGAGCCAAGAGTTGGGAAGTCCATCTCGGAATCAATCTCGAAAGAAGATCTGTGATGATTTGGTTTCTCTCCTTCACTGTGTGCTGCTCCTTCACTCTTGTTGCGTCGGCGTCGGCTGTTGACAAGAACATAGTAAGTTATTATTATTACATGCACTGTATATGTAATTATAAAAATAAATAACAGGTACTCATGTCACCAGCTATATTCAAAGAGCTGGCATGTAGAATGGTACCACTTGATGTTTGTAATTAACATAATCCTAGTTTCTAACATTCAAAACAGGGTGGCATGGGCTGAATATATCTTAAAGTCTGATTACCAACTACCTCTACACAAAAGTACAGCACAGCACTAAAATCACTATAGATATGTTTGATACATGTACAGTACTTCAGTATCATACATGTGTGGGTATCATATCAGCGTGGAAGCATGAAAAGACACTTAAGACTAAAGTAGTCGGTATCATATTCAGTGAAGTAAAATAGAAAAAGGCAGTAAAGATAAGAAGTAAATAAAGACCAGTGGCTGAAGGAGTGAAAAATCTGAAGACCAGAACAATCGGAGGAAGAAGAGCAGACCTTTGAAAATATTCCAGGCATGACTGGAACAGACAAACCTTTGCAATACTAACTTCATACAACTGAACCAGAAACTTTATATTTCAGTGATTTATTTATTATTACTTTTTGTGGGGGAGGAGAGGGATTTTGGTACTGTAAATCGGCATTATACTGAACATAACCACAACATCCCACCAACATGTAAATATGTAAGAGTAGAGGACCATGCAGTGCAGCTTCAGGTCCCACAATATTTTGGATTTGTGGCATTATACTGTCAATCTATACTTTCTAAATGGAATTGACATGTTAAGTGATGAGGCTTAGTGATTTTTTTTTTTTAATATCAATTGTATATTGCAGTTGAATGTCTCTAGGAAACTTTTTTTTTTGCCCCAAAAACTTACAAACACCACAATAGTCCCTCAAGATCAGCATTAGATTAGATTTTTTTTTCAATTAACACACTATGGGAATCCAGCCAAGGATACAGCATTTGTCAGGTGAGCTCACAAGCAGGTCACTCAACAACCATAAATGTAGATGTATGTTCGAAGTTAAGACTATACTAATTTTTTTGAATGAATTGTAATAAAGGTATCCTTCACAATACAAAAGCTTGAGTTACCAAAATTTTAAAGAACGGAATCTAAATAGTAGGTATGAATTGAGTTTTCATCAGGAAAGGGATGTGTAAACTTACCAAACCTCCAATACTATATTTCACTTAACACAAAAAACATAATACTCTATACAGTATAGATATACTTAATCTACATGTAAACTATAATGACATACAGCTTTAGAAGTGTTAGAGACACCCTGAATGACAGAGATGGGATAGGAATTATGCCACACCATCACCTCCAGTGTTACTCTCCACAGTAAAATAATTGTTAGCTGTATCTTTTCTATTATATATTGTATGACTTAAAAAGCATGTTCAATATCATTTTATTAAGTCTTTAGGAGAAAGACGTACACAAAACTTCGTACAGTATTTGCTCGTTTTATATTTTCAAGAGTCAGTCTCTCTTTAATATCTTCAATAACAATGGAAGTAATTCGTTATTAATACAGGAAGTCCTTGTTTACTGAAAAGCACCAACAAGAACCTTCAAGATACTTATTGGTTTTATGTTATAAGAGTGAGAGAATAACAGTGGGTAGTGGTGGTGATCAGTTAATGAATGGCAAGTGAAGGAGGAGCACACACACACACACACACCTAAACAAATCACTCATTATCTCCAAATGGATAACTTTTCTGCATTCTTATAATTTTTACATGCTAATCATTTTAATGTCATAAGAGCAGTAAAATGGAGTACTGTATATGGTGGGGTTGTCAGTTAACAAACCTTCTAGATGCACAGACAGACCAGTTGACACAGCCATGAGAGGGAGAACATGCACATGCCTCTCAATAGTATTTTACAATGTATTCCAGATATAATTAAATATATTTCATGTTTTTTTAATGGAAACCTAAGTATTTCTATGGAAAAAGTAAGCCCAAATTCCTGGAGAGGAATGCATCCTTCCTTAATACAGTTCATTGCTTCTTATGGGAAAGTTAGATTCAAAACTGAAATCCTTGTATTAAACCAGTACTGTACATACTGTAGTTTATAAGAGATATAATTTTCAATTAAATGTGTGCTTAAAAAGTCTTAGGTTTTAAGTTATGATAATCTGAGTTCTAGACAACTTTTCAGGAATGGAGCCCTTCTGTAACCTGACAGATGCCTGTATACTTATAGATTTACATATAAAGTTAAGTTAAACAAGTTTTGACCTGTGACTTTGTCAAAACTACACCTAAACTGTTAAGTGCAGCCATAAAACAATGATAATGATGCTGATGACTCAAGTTAATGTGAATTAAAAAAGATCTCCTATAATATATTGTGAACACTGAAAGGTTGCATATTTGTGTTGTTAAGTTATTGCTTAAATATTTTTATCCAGTTCATGCAGATGAAAAAAAGAGTCTCCCCCCATCTATCGAGCCCCACTAAATACTATTATCTCATGATCATAATTCTCATCAGAGTTCCACCCACTCAAGAGTGAGTTTCAACATGGGTGACATACCCCCCCCCCCCCACAGCAAAATGTTTATTGGCTTGTTACTGCCAACTACCCATTTTCACCAATTTCAATAATGATGTATGACTAAATGAATCTCCCCCACTGCTTGATGTGTTATCTTTGTAAGCCAAAGACTTTCAGATGTATCCGGTAAAGCAGCAACCATCAAAGATCCTAATGGGATAACATGAAATTACTGGTCAACAAAAATACATATGAGTGCTGATGCCTAAGGGACTCAGGTAAGTTCTCAAATGTGTAAGATATCTACAGATGAGAAATTCAGGTGTTTGAGTCTGATTTGGGTTCAGAAAAGATTAATTGCAGATCTCTATGTTACTACCCATGTTTTTTTAAGATCACAGATACAGTATAGGTTATCATCACATAAGTTAATTAATATTTCCTCACTAAATACTAAAGATGGGGATTAGTCACTAAAAAGTGTGTATAGCTTAAGGCTGTACCTGCCCTCATTATAGGTACCCAAGTAATGGTATTGATACTAAGGTTCATACCCAAGTGCAAAATAGATTACTAAAAAAAAAACCCACACACAAGCTCATTACAAAATAAGACTACAGTAAACCCTCAAATACCTTTTCTTTGTAATCTGTCATATACAGTGCTCTTTGACCACAAACATGAAATAAGCTAACCCAGTTCTCTATAATGTGAGTTTTGGTACCATTTACCAGTGGAGACGCATTACATTGGAACATATGCTTTAGCCAGAAATTGGATACACATGTAAAACCAAATTTTGATGAACAGGAGAGAACACAAGCATGCTCTACTGTTATGCCGGTAACTGAATGGATGGATGCATCCAATACATGAATCAATGCTGTACTTATACAGTAATGTTTATATAAAGTAATTATATTTGCACTAGTTTACTAATTTTATATTGTTGCAAAAGCAGAAAAACATTACAGTCATTAGCATCTTGTTAAAATAACAATGACTACATTTAAATAAATACTGTATTGTGTGAAAAAGCTTGTAACGGATATTAAAATATTGGATAGAAATGTAAGGAAACTGTGAGTCATGCCGAGTCTTAGCACACCTATGCTAATGTGTTGTAATTAACTAGTCAGTGATGAAGGTTCAGTAAAGGCTACATACCCCCTATAAATGGCTAAGGAAGTAGTTTTCTGTAATGTATTTTTATTCATGCATTCTATTTGCAAAAATAAAAATAAACAAATCTGTTCTTAGTACTGTACTTTCAGTTACATTTAGCACTCATTCTCTGGTGTGCAACTGGATCTGGAACCAATCTTGCTGCAATGAATGGCTACTACATAAAATACTGTATAAAAAAACTTTTTTTAGGTCCACGTATATAACAAAAATAAGTTATGGAGAACCACTATTGAACTTAAACAGTGATTGTAATCAACCTGTGTCTGGTGCATTGGTGGATGGCACAATGAGCGAGTTCAGTGCTCAGTCATGATAATTAATTATTCATGCACTGTACTGTACAGTGGGACTGAATACCATTCACCTATTATTTAAGACCTTTATGTGTGTTTATTTCTTTGTGATTAGCAAGATTTGAAGTGCAGTAGCAAGCTTTTGAGACCCAGGAGAACACATGCTCTTCCTATAAGAAGTTCAACTGGTAGAAATTTGATGTACAGGTATACTGTACAAGGTTTTAAAGAATATGACCAAGTAAATTGAGGGCCCACTGTATCCAAATTGAGTAAAGCATTTGTCTGCTATGAAAAAAGTTGCATTTTGTATGTGTAAGTTATAAGATAAAACAGCAGCATTCTAAACTGAAAGGCAAACAGCAGGAGCAAGGCAGTGGGGGGGATGTGAGGTATTAGTAGCACATACAGGGGGTAGCCGTGCAGGAAGGGGCAGGTGATGCCCTTGAGGCAAGAGCCCTCTTCCCAGAACCTGCAGGTGATGGATGCCAGGTCATGAGAGAATTTGCAGTCACTACGGCGACAGCTTCCCTCCATGAAGAAGGTACAGGGACGTCGAGAGGGAGGTAGCCATCTTCCTGGCCGTGGTTTACGAGGCAACTGAACCTGAAACAAATAGTTAATTGTAAAAAAAAAAAAAAAATATATATATATATATATATATATATATATATATATATATATATATATATATATATATATATATATATATATATATATATATATATATATATATATATATATATATATATATATATATATAATATACATCGGGGGGTGACCTTATTAAACATGAGGTCAGGTCATAATGATGTCATCCACTAATCCCACTAAGCTCCTCTACGTGTGTATGTATATATGTATGTATGTATGTATATATATATATACAGTATAGTCTGCATTTACGCGGTCAATTGAACTCGCGGGGGTCCGCGTAAAACGAAAAACACGTAAACGAAATAACAGAACATATGGGATTAATTGAAATAGACTGGGCCAACCCCCAAACTCCACTTTTTCCGACACAATACGTACGTTGTAGTAAAAATAGTATCTTAATTTTATGATGGTATGCACACACACACACATAATATAGAAGAGAAATATCAATAAGAGAATAATATACTGTACCAGGTAGTAGAAAAATCAAGGTTTAACACTTACGTTAGTAGAAGAGATGGGTCGGCATACGGGAATGGGGGCTGGTTCCGAGGCAGAGGGCAGATTAGTGGCCCTCAGGTGAATCACTATCACTATCTACCACAGATGTCAGGGCCTCCCTGACAAACCCCTCAAAGTCACTATCACTGTTACTGACTTGGGCTGGCTGTGGTGGGTTGCGGGCAAAGAAGTCGGTGATGCTACGCTGACGGCTAGCGTTGATGTGGTCGTGATACATCTTGATATACGGCTCCATAGTTTGGTCAAGATGGTTATTTGAGACTTCATATCGGTGATTGAGAGGGTCTTTGGAAAGAATGAGCTCGAGTTTCTCGGCAAACTCGATGACATCCTTTATATCACCATGTGTTAACTTCTGTTCTCGTGCTGCCGCACCACCTGCCTCCTCACTGACGTCATCGTCTTCCAACATATCGTCGGCAGTCACCTCAGGATCCCTGATTACCTCCATGATGTAGTCGTTGGTCTCGGAGAAGCCTGCAGCTGTAACACTCTGTGCAGCTTCTCTTGCAAGGTCCACTGCAACTGACTGAGCCTCTCCAGCCACAGGTTGACTTTGCCTCCCACCTGGGATACCCTGCAACACATGCCGCCACGCGTGACGAATCGTTGCCACAGACAGCTGTTCCCATGTATCCACCAAGAAATCAACAGCTTTCTTGACGTTAAACATTTTCCAAAACTGTTTAACTCGCACTTCATGCTCCGCCAACTCTTCTTCCAGATCCTCGTCCTCGCTATCTGTGCCACTCAGAAGGTTCCGCAACTTATCCTTGGTGTTGGTATAGTTGTTCAGGAGCTTAAACTTCTTTGCGGAGAATGCAGCCTTAACGTTGCATATCAACTCCTGGTTCATGGGCTGGATTAACGACGTAGTGTTAGGAGGAAGGAAGAACTCTTTTACACTGGGGTGACGATCCAACAGTAAGGGCGAATGTCCTGGTGCGTTGTCAAGGAGCAACAAAATGTTAAATGGAACATCATGTTGCTTGCAGAATTTCTTAACGTCAGGAACGAAACAGTCGTCAAACCAGGAGAGGGACAAACCAATGAACATCCACGCCTTACGTGCGGTTAGCCAGTGGACATTTATCTTGGTCATGTCCATGTTCTTGTATGCGTGCGGCTTGCGGGCTGTGTGGATCACCGACAACTTGAGCTTACAGGTGCCGGAGGCATTGGTGGTAAACAGGACGGTGATGCGCTCCTTCTGCAACTTCCGGCCCCGACACTTGCTGGCAGACTTGACAACGAAGGTCTTGGAAGGTAATTTTTTCCAAAACAGCCCAGATTCATCCATGTTGAACACCTGGTCGTCGGTGTACTGTCCTTCCTCTAAAATGTCTCATAAGAATGGAGGAAAATCCATGGCGGCAGCACGGTCAGCACTGGCTCCTTCACCAACAATGTTAATGTTGGTTATCTTGTTGCGTTTCTTAAACCCTTGCAGCCACCCAGAGGAAGCAGTGAATGGTTTGGGCTCTGCAATTCCCATCTTGCACGCCACAGATTCGTAGAGTTCACGGGCGTAGTCCTGCACTGCCTGCGTGTTGACTGCCATGTTACATCTTGCCTGACGAATGAAGTAGGTCACCAGTAAATTCTCAGTCTTGAGCAGCACCTTATTCTGACAATACTTCACCATTGAAGCACCTGCAGACTTTGTGATGCTCATGTGTTCTTTTCTCTTGGCGGCATCCTTCTTGATTGTACGAATCGTAGATTCGTTAACTCCATGCTGGCGCGCGAGATCAACTTGTCAATTTTGTATTTCATTTCGTAACTTAGGGCGCGTCGTATCTTCTTGGGCTTGGGGCGGCTTGGTCCAGGTAATTCAAGGTTTTTCTGGGGTGGTGAGGGTCCAGTGGAAGCCATTGTTTAACAGATTAGTGGGCACAAGAGAGAACAGTATATGCGGAGACGGAGAACAATGAAACTGGCCCGGCTAGGTCAGTGGCTTCTTCCCTCCCGTGGCTGGGCACGTCATATTACATTAGACCAATCACAGCTAGCGGCGGAGGGAGGTAAGGATGCGTGACCCAATCACAGTCCGATACGTCACATGACGTCAGCGATAACGCAACAGCGACATACTGCGCACCCTCCCCACGTATGGTCAAGAATGGACCGTGTGAACAATAATTGGCGCGGCGCGTCTGGACCCCTCGCCGCGTAAATGATGCAATGAACCGCGTAAATGATCAAACGCGTAAACCAAATCCGCGTAAATTATATATATATATATATATATATGTATATATATATATATATATATATATATATATGTATATATATATATATATATATATATATATATATATATATATATATATATATATATATATATATATATATATATATATATATATATATATATATATATATATATATATGTATGTATGTATGTATGTATGTATATATATATATATATATATATATATATATATATATATATATATATATATATATATATATATATATATATATATATATATATATATATATATATATATATATATATATATATATATATATATATATATATACATATATATATATATACATATATACATAGTGATCCTTCGGTTAACGAATTACCTTCCTTAAGATTCTTAACTTCGGTTAACTAGCATTCCCTCGATTTACGAATTCCTTACAAGCGCCCCTCCTCATGTTTTCGTTTGCACACTAGCTGTCATATTAGTCTGCCAATACAGTAATTGGTTCTAGGGCTCAAATTCCTTACTATTTTAGTAAATATCGAGAAGTTTGTACTATTCAATAATTTTAAAAATCTTATATTAAATTTTTTAGTGTTTTTAACATTTATTTAACATAATTTAGGTACAGGGAAACTAGTTTTTAGCGCGCCAAACAGCCTGTCAACACACCATACAGGCATCAGTCTCTGTGTCTTTTCAGTGGAGGTAACATCTTGCTTCAGACTCTCATCAACATAAATGCCTTTTTTCTGTGTTTCCAATCAAATTATTGGTCATTTTGTAATTAATTTTACATATTGACAATATATAATGCAGTGCAGTGTTGATTTAAAGAAAATAATCTTTAATTACACCAAGTGAACTAAAATTTTATGGGTGAAATGATGCCATGGGGTGACTTCTCCTCCACCCCAATGCCTTCTCTTCTCCCTTCTCCTCCACCCCCATTCTAATTCCCATCATCATCATCCCGGAGCCTTCTACATACACACCTCAAAGTAAGTGTACTTTACTCCCTTTTTTGTTGACTTTAGGCAATTTTCGATGAGCTGGAACCAATTACCCAAAAACCCATTGAATTAATGGTTTCGGTTAACGAGCAACCTTCTAGAACGAATTGTGGTCGTTAACCGAGGGACCACTGTATATGTAATATTCAGAAATTTCGTTGTGATATTTAGAGATGTCAGTACGTAAATAACCAAATATGCCGAGTCATCCTAAGCCATGACAGGTTGGCCAAGCGCCAGCAACACCTCCCTCCCAAGCGGACGGAGACATTTGGAATTAGGCCTATACGGTATGATATTAAATGTAATTTACCGAATTAATATGGACGTGAGTCATGAAATTAAATGACATTTATTAAATTTAAAATTATTATAGATCGTTTCTCAGTCTAAAAATGTTACGTGTGTCCCAACGAAGCTATTAGTTATGCGGGAAAATATGTCACTAGCAGGCTAACGCCTTGGGGGGATGCCCTGGCTGGTCCTCAGTCAGATGATAGCTGTTCATCCAGACGGAAGTCTGCGCGTCCGTCCAGGAAAAACCATCACGTGGTCTAGTCTCCTTGTACACGCCATTCAGTATAGCAAGTAAGATTTATTCGATCTCAGACAGGGTTTAGATAGGGCAGAGAAGAAGTTAACAATAGCTAACAGAGAGTTCATTGCAGGGTTTCGGCAGAACCCACTTGATTGACGATTGATGATTGGAACGATTGGAGCAGTTTTGTCACTGGTTAGCGAGTTTTAGCTGGGACTTCCCGAAGTGAAAGAGGGCCCCTGACTGCTAACTACGTGGGACCAGCACCCGCCCTTGGTTGATGATCGCTTTGGGTCACCAAATCTTCCCAACCGTTGTTCACAACACCACACATCTTCAGTCAGTTTAGTGAAAACCTCTTACTAACAGGAAAATAGAACCCCCCTCAGCTGGACAGGTTTCAATGGCTGACTGACAGTCGCTCTCTTCTGGTTCATGGATGTATGGAGTGTAAACTGAGGCAGTCTGAGTGAATGAACGGTCACACACCGAGACCAGGAGTCTAGTGGGTACTTAAGAGACAGTTTATCTCCCCAGTATGGGTGTGCTCTAAGCATAGGTGTGATGCATGTTATGGGAAATGGTGGTAAAGTGTGCTTAGTATTAACCAAGTCCAGGTGTGGAAACAGCGCTCCTCATGGTTGATTTTCACACGTGAGACATAAGAATTCCTATCGTAAGTTGTGAAGGGCTTGTTAGTGCCTTAAAAATACGGGTGCATTTGGAACCTATGTGTGAGATTAAGAAGCATGTTTTACGGGTATTGGTAGAGAAAAACATTCATGACTCCTGAGATCTAGAGAAAGTACTGACACCTTCTCATAAAACTTGTTAAATTTAAAGCCACCAAGACAAACCCTTGCTTTCTCTTTAAAAAAGTGACATGGAGCTTCGGTCCTACTTTTCATTACGTAATAAACAAAATACGATTTTAAGATACCGTACTCACCTCATTATCAAACAGGCCCTCATTACATACCAGAAGTCTCTTCAATTTATCTTTATTACCACTACAGCATTCCCAAGTAACTGTGAAAGTTATATGCAGAAGCTGTGAAAAATACACAGGCAGACCAGAGAGAAAAAAAAAAACTTACCTTATAAGGAATTCCACTCCGTTTCCATTCATCTTCCAGTTCATTTGAAAACCGTATAACAGTAGGTTCACCTAATGGAAGGTCTGGCAGGGAGCCCCCCAGACGATGAGTGGCAGAGTCAGAAGTACCGAAGATCTGATCATAGAGGGAATCATCCAGATATTCCACGGGAATGGTGTAAGTGGTTCCATCAGTTTCATATATTAAAACCTCTCCACCTTCCCCATCTTCATCATCTCCCACTCCATCTAGACAGTCCTATGAAATCAAGAAACAGTTAGGAACCCATGGAAAATATCCCAAGAATAATACTATACTGTACAGTATATCTAATCATATCACTAACGGTACAGTATATGAAATACTTTGTTTTTTATTCTAAAACAACCGAACCTTTAATATTCATATGATTTTTTAAATTCCTTACAGTTTTTACAACTTTTCTAACCAAATTCAACACTTTGAATATCTAGTAACCGAAAGCCTGCTATCACCTGCTAACTTTTGTCTTCACTATATAAGAATGGTATCTGGTTAGGTTCTGACATTCCCGTGGGGATATCATGTACACCCAATTTTACATTGCTTTTTCTAAAAAATATACAGCCTAGCCATGCTGACATAACAGCTCTGGTATACTTCAAACATTTATTTAAAAATCACCACTAGAAAATGCACTGCATCCTAAGTTGAGACTCTAAAGGGTAAATAATGCTCATGCACTTCATGAGTCAACTGTCAGTTATTGAGTGCAAGTTAATTTTTTTCCCCAAAACTTTATACATACCTTACCAAATAATTTATTTTAATTACATTATCTCTGCATTTCTTACATCCTCCATCCCCCAAAATGATTCTGTTACTTTACGTTCTTTGTTCAGTCAATCTACATCCATCTTAAACCAAGTCAACCTATTCCCCTTTAACTCTTTCAACAAGTTATATAGCTAATGTACAGTGTGATATTCTCATCCACTTTTCATATTGCAGAAGTAATGAAATTATGCATCCTTTTCCCTCCCACGAAAACATTCATTACCTCTACTTCATGAGTACCAACAGCTTGAGGTCCCCACTCAAAGCCATCATTGAACTCCCATCCAGGTGCCAGATCATCAAGGTCCTCACGTTCTGTATCTTCCTGTGGAAATGTTTTAGTTTTGCATAAAGGGTTGCTGGAATTTGCAGTCTTGCTCACAGGGTTCCCTGAGGAACACTTTTTTAAGCGTTCATGCAAAGGTTGGGGCGAGGGATCATCTGCAACTACAGGCTGACTACTTGGATGCAAATTCTCAGAACTAGCAGTCTGAGCATGAACAGCCCCCAAGAGCTCATCAGCCTCTTGGTCCACCTCCAACCTTAATTCTGTGCATGCACCTGGTGCATCAGTATGTGCACCTACAGTGCCACTCCTATCAGGAAGAAACAGACAACTTAGTAACCTATACTATACCATACAATAAGAATGAAATTATCATATGTTCAGCAAATACTTGTGTCATTCATATTAGTTAAGACCACATAAATATTACAGTACAGTATTTTCATAATGACAATATCAAACACTATCAAATAACAGACCCAAAGATATATCATGTTATATTGAAAAAGCATGAACTGAAGGTAAAGTTGACTTAGCAGTTCGTCATTACAAGTATCAACTTACCTTTTCTGGTGATCTTCAGTATTTAGTTTCTGTTTATTACTTAAAAGACAATTTTCTAACCAAATTTGGTCTTTCTTTTTGTTCACACATTTTTCCACGTCAATTATGTGCTTCCATGGACCAACTTCTGTCAGAGCAGACATTTGACAACTATCGTGGAATTTACCAGGGATATAAGTTGTTGGGTTTGTAATAATATACATATTAGCCCTGCTCGTATCAGACTCCGAATCCTCATTAACTCGTGAAGTACAACCAGTCCAAAGTGCTTGAAGACTGGTCATAGATGATGGAATGGTTGGAGAAGTTGGTGAATTACTATGATGCCAAAGAGATGCTAGAGAAGTTGGAATTACAACAGCTTCAGATTTCTGATTAATGTTTGATTCTGGTGGTGGCTCAAAGTGGCCTTCACTGCTCCACCCAGTAGCTCCCTCCCCTTCTCTTTCAAGCCAAGCATTCCCAGTCATTCCTCCACCTTCTATGTCATTCAACTGTGGCCAAGCATTTTCCCTATCCTGTTCTAATTCAATTTGCCAAATATTACGGGCATATCCTGCCTCAGAGGACTGTGGTCCACTCTTCCATATGCTTGCTAAGTTATTGCTATCTGGAAAATCCTGATGTTGAAATTCAAAAACATCTGGTTCTTGTTCATCTTCTTTACATGTAAAATGGTCTGCAAGGCATACTTTTTCACATGGAACCATTTTTTCTACGTTTATACAGAAAGATCGCTTTCTACTTGGCATATTTTCTTCTTCAGTTTGACAAAATTTTTCATTGTTCACAACTTTGAACTTTGGGACTAGTGCAATAGCTTGAAAACTTTCATGAGCAACAACTTCTGGTTCTTCCTCTGTTTGTACCAACTTGGGTACAGGCTCCTTATAAACCATATATTTCTTGGGTGAACCCTCTAAAAGGTCACTCTCCAGAAACAATGCCCCACTACTTGTGCGCTGGAATGGCAGTTCTGGACGCTCAGAATTGACAATAAACATGGTTCCATCCTCATAGTGATCATCAGCCGTGCTCCCTACACTATCTTGTCGAATTGGTCGAAAGTGTGTACGAGGAGAGGTTAATAAATTTTCTTCCTCCTGGGTAGGTGGTAGTGTCTCGGTGTTCTCAAACCCTCTGCTATGACATACAGTTTTATTTCCTAAACCCATTAGTAAATTGTCTGACACCTGATCCAAAGAAGAATTTGGTTCTACACTTTTACTCCGAGGAATGACCATTGAGAAGCCACTGCTTTCTGTATGGCGAAGGTCAGCTTGGGGACCACTTGGTCCAGATGGCATTTGCTTTATCACTGAACTGTCTGGAGCAGCCTCTTCTTGAGACTCATAGCTTTTACACACATCTTCAACAAGGGCCATCATTTTCTCATGCTCTGAATCTGTTTGGCTATCATGTACAACTTCTTCACAACTATTGTTCTCAGAAACACATTCTAAATTATCGTTACTTACTCTAAGTTCTGCAAAAACACCCTCCAGGCCTAGTGTATTTTCCCATATATTTTCTAAGCCCAGTTGCATTAAGGATTCACATAATTTGTTCTCTAATTCTTCTGTTGTGTGGCATTTTGCCTCCTTTTCTCCAAATGGTTCCAAAGTATTATTAATTTGATCATCCATGCAAACAAGAACTGTACCTTCACTACCAGAAATATTATTAGCATTACAGTCTGACCATATGGACTTTTCTAAGCTGTTGTGCAAGTGGAGAAGGGTACTTGCTTCTTTACTAGAGTTTTCTTTATAATTACTAAGAGGGCTTTGACCTGATATACTACATAACAAAGGATCCTCTTCTGATAAGGGGTTAACAGCATGCCAAGAGTGACTCTGATGCCAATCGTCATTTATGGGTGTGAAAGGCTCCTGAATAATTTCACTGCAATGGCTATGTTCTAAGGAGATGCAGTCCTGTGTGTCCTGTGGCTCTGGAAGATTAAAGCCCCATATTGTAGTGTATAGGGCCATTTCCTGCACAGGTGGTGGATCCCAAACATGTTCTCCTTGGCCATGGCTAAGAGATTCCCCTGCCTGACCCCAAACTTGAGCCACAGAATCAGAAATTTTCCTTTCCAACTGCCTCACACTTTCTGCTTCCTGGGTCTCAACATCACTACTAGAACCACTTGTACCACCAGAGGTGCTTCCACGCTCAAAGAGTCGACTGCCTCCCCCTCCATGCAAGCTGTCACCTTCATTGTCACTGGCTCCTAAGAGTAAATCTCCCATACATTCCCACTCTTCTTGGCTCATTTTTCCTTTTACCACACTCAAAGGACCTGAGGATTTATCAGATTTATCATCTCTGGGCTTCTCTATATCCTGGTCTCCTTTATCCCGGTCTTCAGAACTTTCACGTGAGCTGGTGTCACCAATGTATCCTTCTCCAATATCCTCATCTAATAGGGGTCCCATGAATTTCTTACGCCATCTATCTACATTTCTCTCTGGCTCTGAGGCACTGTCGGTGTCATAGCTTTCATTTAATTGTGCTTCCTTATGTTTTGCAGCAGTGTGCCCTGTGAATGAAACATGGTGCCGCCGAGATCCTTCGTGGATTGCTATCCCATCAAGTTTCGCCTCCACTTCCTTCTTTTCCTTTTCACGACACTTCTTTCGGTGGGTTCGAGGCATTTTGATGGTGCTGGTTTGAATGGCTTCACTATGTGCAGCGAATGAGGACTTCTTACCCTCCCAGACACATGAACAGAGAGTATCTCCTGACTTCCATGGTTTTTCCCTGACACAGTTTTCTTTGCAAGATCTACTTAGAGGTGGAAAGGCTGCATAGTACCTGTGGAAGAGAGTTAGTGTGAATTTAAAGCAGCAGGAGGCACTGAATTTAGTGTTTCTGAAAATTACCGCCAAAATTTTGTAAAAAAAAAAAAAAAAAAATTAATGCAGAGGATGCCCCAAAACTATAACAATGGAGCAGCAATAAATATACTGTACAGTTGTCCTATGACTTTATGTCAATGTCTCAGGAGTTCATTACCGAGGTCGTCTTGAGTCAAAATCATTCTATGAACATGGGTTCAATTTTTAACAGTAATGGAACTATAGGTATGGATATTTGAAATTTTAAGTATAATTTGCACAGAAGTAAAATACTTCATGGAATTAGTGTTCAAAATGGCCGCCTTAAGATTGGATACACACTCTAGCTTGTTTAATACTGAATGAGTAATCATACCAAGAATGTCAGGGTCTTTCTGTAGGAATTCTGAACTATCCATAATTCGACAAAGCAGTTCACTCTTCAGTTAATTTATTTTTTTTGCTCGTATACCCTCGCCTTTACGTGGCCCCACATAAAAAATCCAGTAGCGCGAGGTCGAGTGAACTTGGTGGACGGGCATGTAGAATTATGGATGCTGCAGAACACCTACAGAATGACTATTATGACCTAAAAGTCATTCATCAATTTGTGCAACTCCCAATCACTTAAGGGATGGATTAGGTCAAATGTCAAAAGAAACAACTACAGTAAGCAATCAAAGGTAAGTAAATACAGTTAAGCTCCTGGCCAAGGCTGGCTATGACAGGGGGACAACTGAAGTGGTATATCTCCTAAATCACTGACAAATAACTCGAGACTTTTAAAGAAAATTGCTCTGCAAATTGAAAGGACTTAAAAAACTATATAATCTTACTTTTCAGCCTGTTCCTCTGGTGTAGATGAAGATGCATAATCATCTGTGTCATTACAGCTATCCTGAGAGACAGCATTCAGAGTAACACATTTGTCCTTATTACCACAAGCAGGAGTACTGTTAGTCGCATTAAGGTGCTCATTCTCAGCAGCAGTTTTTAGGCGTGAACACAGTTCTTCTACCAGGCTCTCTAGGTCATAACGCTGCCAATAAAATAAATATTAATTAGTAGTATGTTAATTTTAAGAAAAGTTAAAAAAACAATGTAAAACTGCCTTGCAAAGTATCAATTATAGTAGTACACACACACTAAAAAGTAAATGTTGTGAAGGGTGTCTCAGGTCCCAATATCATCGGAAAATTAATGTTCTTCTCATTTTCTTTTTCAGGAGAGGGAATCATAAATATGAAGATTAAGCGATGTGGATCAATCAAGTGGACATCCAGGTCTCCGAGCCTTATACCTCTCTCCTTTCTCTGGGTTACCCGGTAACCTTAAATCTGTCGTCTACCAAGATCATCCAAGAACCATTTAGGTGACCCCAGAGGAAGAAATTAAGAGGTGTGAGGACTGGAGGCCCCAGTGGCTGTTTGACTGATCATTATGCCTAATCTTCATTTATTTGTTATGATTCTTGTAACTGAAAAAAGAAAAAGAGAAGTACATAAATTTCACTATAGTGAACAACCTATGAGACACCCTGTATGTGCAATTTGACAATAACCTCGTACAAAAGTTAAGCACATATATTTTTATTTGCCCACACCCATCTCAAAATTCATCAAGATTTTTTAATTCCCAATTGTTCAACAGAAAATGAAAAGGCCTGTACCTTAGGTTTGGTAGAGCAGTGATAGATGGCCCTAAACACAAGACACCTCCTGCCACTCACTAAATACTTCATTCAGTGGAATACATAACTCTTGGCATACCAAACTGCTGACCGGCCAAGAGTAAAGGCTGGCTGCCACAATCCCTTATATAACATAACCTATCCACTAAATGAACTGAAAAATTGGGTTAATTTAGCCCCTGATCATCATCATCATACTGAATGAGGTCTTGTCATTATCCACGGTTTTATTGATGTGTCTCCAATGTTCTTACCATACAGTATTTGATTGTAGGCAATTATGGAATGTCTTTCATGATGATAGATCTGAATAACAGTAACTTGTTACCTGGCCTCCAACTTTAGGGTTGGGTAGTTTTGAGCCGTCTGTCTGTCTGTGCCACAAATTTACTTTGAAATCATGTGTGTGGATTTGCACCAAACTTGGTAGATTTGATAAATTTATGACAAAGTCCACATGATAAACCTATGGTGCAAATCTTGCCAAAATTGTCTGGGTGCTACCATGGTACCACTTCACTCGATGATAATGAAATAGGGCTTTTTAGAGGTTAACGAGAATGACACGAGACAGTCTCTAGCAGTGGACTACATTGATTTACAGTACCAATATCACTAGTTCGTTATTTTGCCTTGTTAACAGTTTGTGGGCAGGATTTGAATATGCTTGAATGATGTTTCATTATCTACCTTGTATTTTATTTGGACACTGTATTCTTAGCATAGTAATATTTGGAATAAATCCTGAAATCCCACTTTACAACTATGCAGGATGAAGTGATTGCTGTATAGCTTCAACAAGTTTACCTACTATTTGACACTCCAGAAACACAATACATGTAAAACCTGCAAACTAGAAATAAAATTATCTTGTAACTCAGCTGCTTCCCCTAAACAAGGAGTTAAAAGTTGAGAACCAAGAGTTTTCATCTGCTGTGCACACACACAGGCATTCCATAATCCAAGAAGGTTAGAAAATGGGAAGCTTTCTCAAACCAACTTCATTTCCAGCTCACCTTAGTACCATTAGAAGGAGGGAGGAGATTGAGTTGCCCGATTCATTTTTTACATGCAGTGGTCCCTCGGTTAACGAGCACAATCCGTTCTTGAAGGTTGCTCGTTAACCGAAAAACTCGTTAACCGAAACCATTGTTTCAATGGGTTTTAGGGTAATTGGTTCCAGCTCACCAAAAATTACCTAAATTCAACAAAAAAGGTAGAAAAGTACACTTACTTTGAGGTGTGTATGTAGAAGGCTCCTGGATGATGATGATGGGAATTAGAATGGGGGTGGAGGAGAAGGGAGAAGAGAAGGCATTGGGGTGGAAGAGAAGTCACCCCATGGTGCCATTTCACCCATAAAATTTTAGTGCTCTTGGTGTAATTCAAGATTATTTTCTTTAAATCAACACTGCACTGCATTATATATTGTCAATATGTAAAATAAATTTCAAAATGACCAATAATTTGCTTGCAAACACAGAAAAAAAGCGTTTAGTTGAAGAGAGTCTCAAGCAAGATGTTACCACCACTGAAAAGACACAAAGACTGACGCCTGTATGGTGTGTTGAGAGGCTGGATGGCACGCATAAAACTAGTTTCATTACCTTCAATTATGTTCAATAATTGTTAAAATGAGTAAAAAATTTAATATTAAACTTATAAAATTATTGAATAGTATAAACTTCTTGATATTTGCTAAAATGGTAAGGAATTTAAGCCCTAGAACCGATTACTGTATTGGTGGACTAATACTACAGCTGGTGGACCGCCAAATGCAAGCGAAATCATGTTCAGGTTGTCTCATAAGAAACTCGTTAATCGAGGGATTGCTCGTTAACCGAAGTCAAGAATCTTATGGAAGGTAACTCGTTAACCGAAATCTCGTTAACCGAGGGACCACTGTACAGTATTATGAAATGGGATTTCAGGATCAATCCCTCACACAATGAACAAGGTGAACCATACAAGCTCAAACTAATTAGTACAACAAGGATAATAGAACCACAAACTCAAAGCTTTATAATCCTTTACCCTGGTAACAAGGCTTAAATATATATAATTTTTTTTTAACAAAGAAAAAGTGCAGAGAGAGAATACAAAATTGCTAGTGTTAAATCTATTTACCAAGGCATCCTCTTGCCAAAAACCAAAGATGTGTGAAGAAGGATGTTGTGGACTGATGGAGGATATATGATGCTGGAAGACACTGTGGCAAGGAATTCTACAGAACCCCATTCCAGGGTATAAATTAATTTAGGTAGAAAGAGGTTCTGAAAAATGGAATACCAACAGAAAAAGAAATGGGCGCTCCCAGATGCTTTTGTGGATACAGCATCACCACCAACTTTGTGCGTTTTCTCAATTGTTATAATTTCAGGATTACTATTGTTTTTTCCTATGACATTCTGGATGTGCAGGTGTCTGGTCATTTAAAATGCTCCTGTATTTTTCTTTATGAGGGGGATGAATTAGTGATATCCATTATCTTAAAAACACAGGGGCCTGCCAATTTCAGTGAACATAAGTCCTAATGTACTAACATCTAAACCTGCACCCCAAAACATTACACAGGAAGCACTTAGTTCAACAATACTCAACACTAAATAAGATGAATGGGAATTGAAGATGGTGTGAGTGTTTTCCATTTTCTAACTTGCGTGGATTACAGAGCATGTGTGTTATTATAAACTAGTCACCTAATCGAATGTACAGTAATTTATAAAAAACCCTGTACAGTAGATCACATGGATGCACCTGTGTACACATGCACACAAACACATGGAGCATGTTATGGTTACTCTGTAAATCAGAAAAATGAAGGATTGATCCTGGATATCCCATATTATAGCCGAGTTGGACAAAGACTCCTGCTCTTACCTATCAAGTCTACATGCTGCAACCCAGACTAACCCCAGTCACTGACAGCTGGCATGATTTCAAATAATACAACTCTAATGTCACAACCCTAGTCATCAGTGAAGGTCTGGAAGATGGGGCTTTACCTTTTGAGGCTGAGAACAAAGTAAATTTCCATGCTACAACAGCTTACACACTAAGACCTGCCCATGGATCATCACCAGTCACACTGCATATCAAGCACCAGGCCTCAGTCCAAGTGAACTCCATGACGAAACCCAGGGCAAGAGGGAAGGTTCTGAGTCTCAGTGTCCTGATTTTGTTATAAGATAAGATTTCCAGAATAAATATATATGAGAGAGAGAGCGAGAGCGAGAGCGAGAGAGAGAGAGAGAGAGAGAGAGAGAGAGAGAGAGAGAGAGAGAGAGAGAGAGAGAGAGAGAGAGAGAGAGAGAGAGAGAGAGAGAGAGTAAAAACTTCAATGGTACTCAGCACGTGCACCTCACTAGTACCTAATTAATAGCTACAGTTGGCAATTATTACACTAAACTTATAAGCTGCCAACACCACACAACATTTCTGTATGTTTTGCTACCTCCATTAAGGTAGCTACTAAAGACCAGTCAACTCTCACTCCTCTACTCCTCTCTAGGTGGCTACCACCAACACCCCCCTCCCTCCAAATAAAGTGCAGTACCTTCCTCACCACTAAACTGACTACCTTTTGACTAAGTATTACAAGCTTAGTAGACTGTCCCATAAAGAAAGATCCAAATGTGTAAGCTGTTTCTTGTGGGCTCGAGTTGTGACGGAAGAGATGTACCAACCGTTTAAATCAGTGTAGCCATCAGAGGGGTTGCTACTCACAGACTTGATGAGTAGAAACATAACTTTCCTTGGACAGATGCCAGGCTATAAAAGCTGCTATAAAGGTTTTCAGATTAGCAAGCAATTTATTACATGAGCTTTACCTCATCAGAAGCAGACATGAGGCACTGGAGAGCTGCCACCTTCTGCAGTTGCTCTGAGGTCAGAATTCGCTGTTTTTGGCGAACCTTGTGGCGTTTACGAGCACGACGACTTCCTCCACGCTACAAGGTAGGCAAAACCTTTAACTTGATAAGTTAAGGTTAGCCTAACTGGTTTAACTGTACTAAGTCAAACAGTCAGTACTGTACTCTTCACTGAAACCACATTTCTCATTTTGCCACACAAAATATAAAACTATGCACTGTACAGTATATACTTCCAAACCACAAAAACTAAAGTACCCATTTTTTGTCTCTAAATTCAGAAATATTCTTTTGATATTATTTGCGAACAGTTTTATAACAGAGAAAAGAAGTCTTATAACAGTCAAATACTGTACTGTATGAATTTCTCAAAGATATAAAAGAGGAATACATTTATTTGAAACTTTATTATTGTTCTGCAAGTAAATACTGTACACTGTACATTATAAAATAGGCTATCAGTTAGGTCACTAAGAAATACGTAAAATAAATTCCCTATACCTGTTGTGGTGTGAAGGACGAAAGATCAGGAAGATCAGCGTCTGGGTGAGTAGTGTGACCTAAGAGGTCATCCAAGTCCAAATCGCGCAAGTCAAAGTCATCCAGGTGGCGGCGAGAGAGTGGATGGTGATAGCGACCAGTAGCGTTACCAGAGTAGGCTGTAGCAGAGATAGGTGTTGCAGGAGCAGGGTGGGGGCAGTAGTGGTGGTGGAGGAGGGACAGGAGGGTGTGTGCGTACGTGGGGCCCGGGATTCCGCGTTCCTCCAATTCCCCACACAGCCACTCCACCACCAGTGATGGCGCCCACTCACACCGTACAAGCTTCATAACAACTGAAAATTAAGAAGAAAATGTAATATATATATATATATATATATATATATATATATATATATATATATATATATATATATATATATATATATATATATATATATATATATATATATATATATATATATATATATATATATATATATATATTTTGATAAAATCACACGGAAAATGGAAACAACGGAGCATCTTAGCTTTTCCTTTATTCAAGACATCTTCACGTTTTCATTGTGGATTTATATGAAATATATATATATATATATTTATATATATATATATATATATATATATATATATATATATATATATATATATATATATATATATATATATATATATATATATATATATATATATATATATATATATATATATATATATATATATATATATATATATATATATATATATATATATATATAATAAGATAGTAACATAAAACATGCATTAATATTTATAGAAAAATCAATAACTTACAAATATCCCAACAGGAAAGCACATTAAAAACCAGATGTCAAGTGATGGTTTACAAACTATTTTTGGTGCAATGTAATGTATGATCTATTTTCAGAATCCTAGGTAACACCTGTATAACATATTCACAAAGTAAATTCCCCAAGGCTCTCTTTTTAATAAGAAACTGAGAAGTAACAGTACAGTAGAAGACTAAATGCACCAGGAGATGAAAAGCCTCACATTAATGGCTAGAGGCCACATATATTATATACAAGATAACAATTCCAAATATATTTATGCCAATGTTCAGTTATTCCGGAGGCAGGCCAAATACTGTAGCAAACATCCAACTAGGCCATTGACCACCTGCTCTTCCAACACTTACAATATACAGTACAGTACAGTACTTGTGTATCTTTATTTTAATCTAACAATGTCTTTCTTAATTCCATACTCCTCGATGTGAATACTTGCACACTAATTACTGTCTTCACAAATTTAATCTTAAAGAGGAGGGTCATTCAGAGATCAAAACCTCTAGTTTTCAGATAAGACTGGCATCTACCTTACATTGTCATGACATAAGTATAGTGTAGGTTTGTAACCATTCACTCACAATATCATTTTTCAGCCAATTCCTTATACAGTACATGTACCATACACTCTTATGCAACTACCGCACTTACGACATAAGAGGCACGTTAATTCCGACCGGTCTGTCTGTTCGTGAATTCATCTCGCCCACATTTGTTCACATGCCAATGCAGATAGTACCGGGTGTCTATTATAGAGAAACTAAAATTCACATGTGTCCTTGGGCTAATTGATAATGTTTTAAGGGTATCTAATTTATTTTTGTACCAAGAGAAAATGTAATTAAGAAAGTCAACCCTTACTATCTTTTAAATGCTCATAATTTCTAAATTATCTGTATACAGCATACTTATATTTGTATTACTTTAATATCTTATACACCTTTATGCATAAGAGAGAGAAAATAAGCTTAATCTCATGTGGGTAGGATATTAACAGTGAAGGAACATTCTACAGTATATACATTTCTGTACTAGGCTTAAGAGCAGCAAATATTGTAAAAGGCTGAAACTGGGTCTGGCCTGAGGGTGGAAAGGCCCATCCCACAAACTTAAGAACTTTGACAAAGTATGGCTAAAGGAGCAAATATTTACCCCTATAAACAATGAAAACAACCTAGAATCAACAGAGAGAGAGATAAAACAATGGATTAAACTCCCAAGTCACAGTCTAATTAATGCACCCAACTAAATAATGTTATGCAAAGTGTTTAGTTTTAACTTGCCTACGGTTCTATAACGTCAACTTGTGTAATGGTGTAGTGATATTGAAGAGTCATCCCACATATGACCTCATCGTTGTTGGGATAGGACTCTGGCCAACTTCCCCCAAGGCTCCATTTTTTAACCTACATACCCACACCTGGTCTTCAGAGGTGCTAACGGATTGCTCAAGTCAGTGAATAAAGTAAAGTTTCACTCATTCTCTTTTATCATTTACTACTTAATGTCTTCCATGCATTTTTTTTTTAACGGAATAACTATCCAATCCAAACAGGCTTCTTATTTTGGGGTTTATTACTGTAAAATGTTTTTGTACAATATAAATTAAAAAATGTTTTGATGCTCATTCACTTTCACAGAAATTTAGTGTATGAAAAACATCAGTATTAAATTAAGAAATTGACCTGGACAGCAAATTCATAAAACAATGTACGAGATTTAGTAAGACATTCTGATTTCACAAAAATACTGTACTTCATATAAACAAATTTCTCAGACCACAAACAAAAGGATAAACAGTAACTAACCTTAAACACTTCAGTTGGTGGGAGAATATCAGTCGTTTTCATGTCGTTATCGAGATAGTAACTTTGTGTAGAAAAATGGATAACTAGCCGTACAGTAAATTAACAATTAAAGATAAGGTAGGATACAGGATAGGGTCAAAGGAGGTTTGATACAAGCGGCTCTAAAAGAAATTAAAATGCAACTAAGCAAAAAAGAAAATTCTGTTGGGATGTATTACACTTGGCTCATAGTGAAGTGCTAAGAAAACTTCTCAATCTAGAGCCTCAAAACACAGGCTCTAGACGAGAGGTGTTCTTCTGCTGGCTATAGAGGAAGACCTCAACTCTATGATGGAACCACAGGCGGGTCTGACACACGAGGCAACCGCTACACAAGTTCTGTAGCACGACCTTCTCAGTGGATTCCGGCTCAAGGAAACGTAAAGAGATGCAAATAGGTCCAGAAAAATAAGGCCAAAGTTATGTTCTGTGAGTGGTAACAGTTATGAGCTAGTACAGTATAAGAATTGCCGAGCCTTTCTGTTAAAGGTGAAAGTTACAAAAATATTGGAAAATATAAGCAGTAGCAGTTGCGGGATAGTGAGGTATACTTGTGAATAGGAGTGAACTAGTGGGAAGCGAGCTAAGGGTGGTGGTGTGGGGGTATGGGAGAAGTGGGTTCAGGCAGTGGTCATGGTGGTGGCGGTTACTGGGGGCGGCGGCGGCGGCGACGGAGGCACAGCGGGCGCGGCAGCAGCTGCTGAGGGGGGCGGGGACCTCGAGCGCTCACCACACCGCCTCCACACATCTTGCCTTAAATTGAAAACATTATATTAACAAAGGAATCTGCAGTACCCACCACCATATAAAATAACAAAAGCCTTAAAAAGTATATAACTTGATTCTAGTTGACTATACAGTACTGTACCGGTATATCCTTAGTCGATTCCTATTGTGAAACACCTTTGACAAGATAAAACCTTCCATTAAAATTTTTACTTTGCACCCCCAGGCCCCGATGTGGGTCATTGACCTGTGCCCGGGTGGGCCAATCCCCGTAAGTAGTAGTAGTAGTAGTAGTAGTAGTAGTAGTAGTAGTAGTAGTAGTAGTAGTAGTAATAATAATAATAAAAATAATAATAATAATAATAATAATAATAAAAAATAAAATAAAAAAGAGAAAGAGAGGCGAGTTAAATATCAAGGAACCAATAAAATAAAACAAAATAAAAATTTACTGTGTGTATGTAGATATTTAGTCCAGGTGATAACATGACCGACAATTCCCCAAAGCCGAGATCACCGATTAAAAGGTTACCTAGTTTTTCGCTGGAGTGACAGAGTGAGTGAGTGGGTCAGTACAAAGACAATGAACTTCACCTGACCCCACAGCCCGACTTCCTACAGTATACGGGGAGTGCCATTTCCCGTGTGGCCGAGGTAAAGAGGAATTACTACCAGGTGTAAAGGAAAGATTATATTATGACGGGTTGCCTCCTTCACGACGGTTAACACCTCCACATGGGTGACGTAATGTCCATACATGACGCATCAATACCACGTCACTGTAAACTTTACCTTATCGGATTTTTGTAGGTAATGTTTGCATCAATGCCACGAAATTGACAGCTGAAGGTCCTAGTCTAACAATTATAAATAATGTAAGAGCTGTAAATCCTTAGTTCAACAGTTATAAACCATCTAATACATTACTGAGAGAAACACGAGATCGGCAGCATTGACTGATCATGTTCATTAAACAGAGGATGATCGGTTGATCTTTGAGCTCTGTACATGACCTTAACCTCTGACAGTTTTATTAAGATGCACAGTTAAGTAAGGTTTCACTTGAATTTCGTCAGTGGTTAAGAAGCTTAAGGCGGGACACGAAATGAGACAGACAGACAGACGAACATTGAAGCGATTATGCTGTTCAGTTCTGGTGCCCATATTATAGAATGGACATCAATTCACTGAAGTCGGTGCAGCGAAAAATGACGAAAATGATTCCGGGACTTAGAAACCTTCCATATCAAAATAGATTAAAGAAACTAAACTTGCATTCCCTAGAAAGACGGCGAGTGCGGGGAGATATGATAGAAGTATTTAAGTGGGTGAAAGGAATCAATAAAAGATGTTGATAAAGTTCTTATAATATCCGAGCAGGATAGGACTTGAAGCAATGGATTTAAGTTGGATAAGTTTAGGTGGGAGATAGGAAGGAACTGGTTTACAAATAGGGTGGTAGACAAATGGAACAAGCTTAGCAACTTTGTAGTAAGTGCTGGAATGCTGGAAAGTTTAAAAAGGAGGCTAGATAGATTTATGGATGATAAGAGAGTGGTTGTAACTCTAGACAGGAGCTGCCATGCACAGGACAAACGGCCTATTGCCGACTCCATATTTTCTTATGTTCTTATGTGTGTGTGTGTGTGTGCGTGAGTTAAGAACATAAGAATGGAAGAAATTGCAGCGGGCCTATTGGCCCATACTGGGCAGTCCCGTTTACACCCAACCTATATCGCTCATATATCCAGCCAACCGATGTTTGAAGCTATCCAGTGTATTCGAGTTAATGATGATATTTGGTAACGTGTTCCACTCGTCCACTACTCTATTTCCAAACCCATGTTTACCTATTTCGTACCTAAATCTAAATTTGTTTAATATAAAACAAATTGTTACGAGTTCGCTCCTGGTTGAATAGTTTGAGTACCTTTGTAATGTCCCCTTTGTTTAGACCTGACTTCCATTTATACACCTCTATCATATCGCCTCTCACTCTATGTCTCTCGAGGCAGTGCAAATTAAGATGCTTTAACCTGTCTCTGTACTCAAGGTTCCTAATGCCCAGGATTAGTCTCGTCATTCTCCTCTGAATTCTTTCCAAGGATTCTATATCCATTCTGTAATATGGTGACCAGAATTGAACTGCATAATACAAGTGAGATCTCACAAGCGCAAGATATAGTTTTAGGATGACCTCGCTAGTCTTGTAACTAACACTCCTTTGTATAAACCCAAGTATTGTATTTTATGAGCCTTGTTTTGAGCAAATACACACTGTTTACTTGGCTTAAGGTTCCTACTCCTAAATCTTTCTCGCAGTCGGATTTCTCAATAACATCGTTGTTCATCTGGTATCTGGTTTCCCTGTTTACATCTCCTACACTGATTACTTTACATTTGTCCACATTGAATTTCATCTGCCATTTTTCGGACCATTCGAAATTTTTTTTTAGATCTTCCTGTAGTTTTGCGGAGTCCTCGTCAGATTTAATTACATGCCCTATTTTAGTGTCGTCAGCAAATTTACTTACGTTGCTGTCTACGCCGATATCTATGTCGCTTATGTATATAATAAATAATAATGGTCCAAGTACTGAGCCTTGGGGAACTCCACTAGTGACATTGCTCCAATCGGATTTAGTGCCGTTAATGCTCACTTGCTGTTTCCTGTCCTGTAACCACGCCCTAATCCATTTTAGAATATCTCCTTTAATGCCATGAGCCTCCACTTTTCTCATTAATCTTTCGTGGGGGACTCTGTCGAAGGCTTTGCTGAAGTCGAGATATACCACATCATAATTGTGCCCCTCATACACTGATTCGAAAACAGATGAAAAGAATGTTAATAGATTAGTTAGACATGAACGCCCGCTTGTGAAGCCATGTTGGGAATCATTGATCAGCTTGTGCTTCTCCAGGTGATTACGAATAGTTTGAAATGATTGCTTCCAGTAATTTGCCTACAATTGATGTAAGACTGATTGGACGGTAGTTAGAGGATAGTGATCTATCTCCCTTCTCAAAAATCGGTATTACATACGCTATCCTCCAGGATTCTGGTTTTACAACCGTTTTCAAGGACATGTTAAAGAACTTTGCTAAGGGCATACTAAGCTCTTCCTTACATTCCTTTAATACTCTGGCAAATATCTTATCGGGACCTGGTGACTTATTAAGCTTTAGTTTGTCTATTTGCTTACTAACATCGTTACTAGTCACTACTATCTCGCTTAATATATTTTCTTCACTATCTCTGTATAGAGTCGGTGCCTCGAGTATCATGTTTAAATTTTCGGTGGTGAAAACTGTTGAAAAATATTTATTGGAATTATTGCTCATTTCTCCATCGTTATCAGTTAGCTCGCCGGTATCTGACTGTATTGGTCCAATCTTTTCTCGTGTTTAAGTTTTACACATTTGATAGAATCCCTTGGGGTTTGACTTCGCCTACCTTCAGTTCATTATTCCTTGCTTTTCTTAACTAGGTCTTAACCCTACCGGTCAATACCTTTGTCCAATAACATTCTTTAAATAATTATTTATCCATTTAGGGCGATACAATATGACACGGGTGCCGAATAAATTTTTAGTGGATGTACAAGCCGAGGCAAAATATAAGACCTGACAATTGTAAAGCAAAAAGTTCTCAAAACACCAAGTGCTGTTAACTACAAAATAGTTGAGCCTATTTTTCCTCCTGGAAATTTAATTTACTCAAAAGTGTCCAGGCGCTTACGGAGGTGAGTACGCTCATACATACAGCGGTTATAAAGCACCAATTTTTAAGAGGCTTCAAATGTATTTCTTTCCACTTTAAGGAGTAATTATGGGAGAGACGGCGTTTAACATTACCTTGATCACTTTCAGGTCCTGGTAAAGGTTCAGTATTGTGAATGGCATTGTGGGATGGTTATTAGGTGTACATAAGGAACGTGATACTGCCGTTCCAGGTTCAAGTCCAGTCACGTTCACCTGTCGTTTCGGTTGTAAGTCCAGTCTCGTACATGCTTGTGCAAGGTCAACTGGGTGGACCACTGCCAGAGGTGCTGGCTTACAGCCATGTATGAGAAGTGCATGGTGCCAGTTGACTTCATACATCGTCATGAAGGTTACCATATATATATATATATATATATATACAAATAACTAATAGTAATATTAACAGTTCCACATCTATACCGACATTCCAACAAAGCTTTTAAGCATTGGACATACAGTACAGTTTTGAACTCCTTTTGTTTAAGTGCAGGGTCTGTGCGATACTAAAGGGGGGGGGGGGTAAAAGTTCTGAATTGTTTTTGAGTACAGTACTCCAAATCGAGTACAGTATAGCCTATAGCTAACAGCATCTGCAGGACCTCCCAACAAATTCCGAGTTGCCATTTCATAGCCATATTGTAGCAATAAACAAGAACGGCTCAACACCCGCCAAAATTAACTCTGGGCACTGCAAGGCAATCGACCTTGTATCTAGATCACACATGAATACTCGAGACATCACAGTTGCAATACTCACATTAGGGGTTGGCACCAAGTAATATGGAAGGTCGTTGTGCCATCGCTATTTTCTTTAGTTAATGTTAATCAAAGACTGGATCATCTGCTTTGTGTTTAAACAGAGGAGTTGGAGAAGCCAAGCAGGCCAACAGAGGGTGTTGCTCAGAGGAAAACGGTGAAGGATAGAGGAAGAGATGGGCCAAGAGCCAAGTGGTGAGCGCCTGTGGTCCCCACGTGCTGGGTGGGACACGACCCCCTCCCTTCTTACACCACACTTCCTCCAATATCCTCGCTTATATAAACTCCAAACCTCCGACTGTATTTTGATCCATGACAACTATCTGGGGCCCCATCAACGAATGTAAAGGGTGGTGAGGAATTAGGACTTCAATACTCCGCTCATTTCCTTAAGCTGCTTGCACCTCTAGTTCAAAGTGTCAATTTTCTATCTTGATTTTTTCCGAGAAGTTTCCTGAATCACGACAAAGACCTAGCTCTCTCACGCTTTGCACTTATATGGATTTTTT